CGGTCTCATGTTTTTTTTTTTTTTTTCTGTAACTCAATTTATGCATTGCAACGGCGATGACCGCGAAAATTTGGCGAGCGAGATCGATATCCTCCCTGCATCTTTTAATCGGAGCGACTGGGGAAGTCGCGCACGGCTCCCGTACGACACGCGATTCTCGGAGACCGAGGGAGAGAGGACAAACGAAAGAAAGGGCCGCGACGCGGATCCCGGACCCGGGGACCGACGTGGTGCGACGACCGCGGGAACAAGAGCTGGAGCATACGTGCATCGGACGCGCGCGGGAACGCGAAACGTGAGCGGCGCGTCCGCACTCCAATCGCGAAAAGTCGGAGCGTTCGAATCGACTCCGCGCATTACGTCGCATCGCGTCGCGTTGCGTTGCGTTGCGTTGCGTTGCGTTGCGTTGCGTTGCGTTGCGCCCATACCCGGCTGCGCCGCGGTGAATTTCCGTCGGCCGCGCGCGGACGAAACGCGCTCGCGACACGGCGGGCGGCACGCGCGCGGGTAGCAACACGACGCGCGCCGTGTACACGCGTGTTTCAACGCGTCGGCCACTCCATCGCAATCACGTACCTTCCAACAATCTCTGTATCAGATTGTCGATATTCAAGTCGACATCCGCCATTTTTTCCTGCCACTGACTGACTGGCCCGATGTTCGCGGACTGGCTCGTATCCGCCTGGCGCGCGCATTTGCACTGCCACGACGCGAGACACAACACTAACGCGTCCTAATACGTGTGCGTGCCGTTATCGACTACAGCAGACTGCGGATTCTCGCCTGAGGCGAACGACGGACACTCTTTCACGTCGAATGTTGATGAGAGGCTCGAATGACTCGATCACGCCGATGCGTACTCAGCGTACTGTGAGATGGCCTGCCGACGTCTAATAAAACTTATTTTAGTCACTATATCTTTCGCTCGCTGATTGGTTGTTCGTGAGTGTCGACTAAGCGGATTGGTCAATCCATCTGTCGGACAAGAGAATCAATTATTTGAAACTGTCACAGACGCGGATTGGTTATTCGATGAATTTTGGTTTTTCAAATTTAACAAGAATTCTAATTTATCCAGAAAACATTGTATTGTTCCAATTATTATTTTAATAAATAATTAATGTTTCAATATCAAAAATCAGATTTCAATAAAATTATGTTACTTTTAATACAATTTCCAAAATGTTCCCAATTTGATCATTTTGAAATAAACATTCGCAAATGATTTATCAGCACGTCAAAAGCCGTCATTTCATTTGTGAGTTTTTGTTGTACAAATTTTTCAAGACCGTTGATTGGCTATAAAATAGAGAGATCCAAGGACCTTCCTGTCCTGCACAGATTTGTTGTACGACAAAAATGCATAAATGAAATAGCATCCAAAGAAAATACGAAAAAACATGAAACATCAGAAAGATTCCATTGTTTAGGACAAAATGTAATTTTATGCGTTCTTCTTAATATCTTATGCATGTATTCTTGATATCTTATCATAATTTCATCATAATTTTTTTCATATCACCATGCATCTTTGTTTTGCAATAATTTATTTATATTATTATAACTAATTAAATTATTATATCACTTCATTTAAAATGATGTGATTCGTAGTTGTGTAAAAAATGAATTTAAATAGCATCCTATGTGTGTATATAGGTTGTCATATAAAATATTCTGCGTATAAGTAATACATTTGTTCAAGTACAAAGAAAAAAATAAGTTGATAATTTAACCATACTTTCGATGATAATCCGGTGAGGGATCTGTATAATCTTGTTGAAGATTAAAGAGCACGGCGTTGTTCTTTTGCAAATATTGCAGAAAATCATGAAAATGAGACAGCAATAACTGTATACTCTTCTCATCTAAGGGTGTATAAGAAAGCATACCACCAAGTCGTACTACAAAGTTAAAAATGTCATTCAAATAATGTCATTTAAAAACAACAAACGTTTTATGAAGAATATGGTTTACCAAATAGTCTAAGGAGATGGAACGCTCCGTATAACTGACTTGGCAATGTTTCCGGATTGTCATTCATTATCTGTATAAACTGTGGTCGTTCCCATTTATACAATAGTTGAAGACCCAATGTGTTATTAAAATATTCCCGAATACCTTTCGTTATTTCCAGCGTGCTTTCTCTGAAATAGAATGATCCACAATTATACAGTCTTATTTGCAATCTAGATCTTTTTTATCCATCCCAAGTTTTTTTTTTCAAAAAATATGAAAAATATAAAAAGGACTATTTTTCAATATTCTTTATATTACCAATTTTTTAGTATAAAATATTTTAATTCAAACTTGAAATATTTATTTCACAAAAATTGAAATATGAGTAAAAGTGAGGAAAAAATTTGAGAATAAAGTTTTACTTTTGTTAAAAAAAAGATCCAGATTGTAAGCAGATGATTATTATGATACATTACGCATAGATGTGTATATAAAATACGATTTGTAATCTTCATTATTTAATAGAATAATAAGAATTGTTATACCTAATGTCGTTAGATTTTCCTGATGATTTTGTTTCTACGTAATCATCTAAGATTTTATCAACTGTATTTTGTACAGGTAAAGCAGGTAATTTATGATGCTTCAATATTATTTCGGATTCATCTATTAGCACAAACTTTAATTCCTCAGGTAACTTGATTTTAACCTCTACTTTTGTAAGATACTCTTCAGTCTCTCCAGATGGCTCTAGCCGACTAAAAGAAAAAATTCTTTCAATAAATTGTAATAGTGAACTGTACAAAGACATTGGATATTACATGTCAAACCTTCGTTTTTTACGCGGTGGTTCAGACACAGATTCGTGAGAAGACGAAGGAGTTACTGAGCTACTTGTGCTCTTATTAAAACGGCTCATACTCTTATCAGCAACAGGAGTACTCGATCTACTGTCTGCATCTTTCTCTCGACCTCCTTCACTCCTTCGACCCTGTGTTTTAGTCGCTGTGTTTCCCTTTTTGTTTTTCTGAGCAGATTGCTGATTTGAGTGAGCTCTCTGGACTTCTCTTTGTTTCTGTACATTTGCCTCATTGTATTTGAGCACTCTACTTTCAGGAACCCATTCGTCCCAACTGTTTTATTTAAAAAAATATAATTTAGTATAAAGTTCAGCTTTATTACTAACAAAAACGTTATATAAATAAATCCTACGTATAGTTTTTTTACACACACATATACACATACACATCCTCATGTGTAAAAATCTTACTTTTTATTCCAACCAGCATAATGAATAAGATATTTAACTTGTTTCTCCTTAGTAATAGATGACTTCAAACACTTAGCTTCATAAATCAATGGTCCATGAAAGCATAAAACTTTTTCTCCTAAAAATATAATTATCACATATTAACTTAATGTGCATAAAACCGAAGAAAAGATACACCAAGGAAGAATTAATCTCTTCACTAAGAGAATAAAAAAACGATACCTTCTTGAAATTTACATTTCGGTGGCATTCTTGTATCTTGTACGTTTATCGAGCTTACTTTACTTTATCAATTGTATATTAAGTCAGACAATAAACAACGGCAGAAAATGATTAACTTTTAACCAACCCTTTCAAAACAACATTCATATATCGATCACCGGATGCTCAATGTGGCTCAATGGTTATGTCAATTGTATTCTCTCTCTCTGCAATTCTCTGCACACAGGACAGCTTCTTCGAGCAGAGACAGAGAGAAGTCTGAGAGCGGCCATGCCCGGGATTTAGCTGTTATTTTTATTTTGAAGCGCCTCTATGTCCACAAAACCCACACATTGAACTATGTAGCCAATGTTCATGATCGTGTCGGTAATATCCACATTTTTGGTTCGAATTTCGCTCGATATAGGGATCAAAAATGTGGATATTACCAGAGAGAAACCTGAGAGAGGACATAACGACCTAAAACCTGTAACCACAAAATACTGCCGCGCACTACTGCCCACTGCAAAAGTGGATGTGAACTACATGCCAGATCCACTATTCTGAGGATAACGCATATACTTTTCAAGACTGATGGTAAGTAGATATTCGCGGTTCGTATAATCGTATTCGCGCTACATAAAATGTGGATCAGAATAAATATTCCTCCCTGCAACTACATATATGTATGCTTACTTCCATGCGCGTGATGTTTATTATTAAGCTTAAAAGTATTAACATTAAAGATATATATTACACCCATTTTTTTTACAAATATGTTAAAATATATCGCGCGTGTTTATATTTTAAATAAGTTATATATACATATATATGATCCCGGCAATTAATTCGCATTTAGAGATTTCAACATTACAGAGCTGCTTTGTGAAGTTGGCACCTTAAATGCGAATATTGGTAAAATCATTATTGCATTCGTTTGTCCAC